GTAGTTTTGTTGGCGTGTTTCTGAAAGAATTTTTTTTCAATTTCATATTCTCAAAGAAATTTCAGAATTGTATATGAGGGATTCTGTTCACTGTTTGGGGTATCTTGTGTCTGCACTTTTGGATATTTTTGAATCTACCAACAGAGATGGTCAACTCCGGTAGGTTATTGCTATTATCCTTCAAGTGGCCACTGCTAGTTAACTATTTATATCAAATGATAATGGTTGCGCGTTTTAAGGATACTTGCTGGAAACTGTCTTTTAAAGATCGTTGGTTATGATGAGGGTGAAGCAACACTGTGTTTATCAGCAATTCTTCCAGGCACTTCTTCAAGAGTTGTTAAAACAACATTCTTTGAGCTTCACACTGATATCGTTTGTTTAGCTTTTGATGTATGTTTTCACATTTGTAAGCAGCTTGGTCATGAAATTCTAGCTTTAAAAACTGACTTTTTTTATGAGACCTGAAAGTTTTCCGGATAGATATTCACAGGATTAATCGCATCTACTATGGATGATAGCATCTTTGAACGAGAGGAAGATTCCAGTGCTCAAGTGAACCACAAAATTGAAATGCCTGGTGCTGTCTTAATGAGAAATATAGACTGGTTTAAATCTACTGCGAAGCAGCTCAGGCAGTTTGTATGTTTGGTCTTCTCAGTGAATTCTTTCATTTTGTGTCACACCGTAGTTTATGAAAAATTTGAGGAAATCTAGATTTTTTCTCTTGCGATTTTCAAAGTTAATTTTGAAGTAGACTCAGAGTTTCCAAAACTGTGTCTTTCTGAAAAGATTTAGAGCAGGTTTTTGTACCAAAGTTAAATGAGCTAGTTTTTCCTAAGACTTACAGTCACCGCTATATCGGTATACTCGCTGCGGAAGCAAGCTGTAAATCAATTTTTTTGAGCTCGTTTGATATTAGATGGTTATGGGCTTTCAAACATTTAAATAATCTAGAAAATCAACTATCTAAACTACAGATGCTTTGCACAGAAATTTGATGGGAGTTGAAAGTGACTTATTGGGGATTTCAGTTGATTAATGTTTTATTAGAGAATTATCTTTAAGAACATAGTTTCGCTCGAACTTTGTGTTAAAAATCTGAACGGAACTATTTTTTTTATTGATTTAAGAATGTTTTCAGTTTTTTTGAATGTTTTCTGCTCATTTCCCTATCAAGACAGGACTTTCGATTTTTTAGTTGAATAATGTTTGCACTCGGTTCGTTTCACATTCAGACCATCAAGTTCGAATGTGCGTGCTGAACTGTGTTGAATGTACATATACCCGTTGTTCTAAAGCTTTTGATGGTCAAATGGATGGAATTTTTGTTGATACAGTTGTGCGGCTTCTTCTTGATCCTTATGAAAAGTATGTGGCTTTTTTTACTAAGTGTTTGTCGCTTGCTTATTTTCACAAACGCTGCCATATTCGTCAAGTTTTTTTAAGGATTTCCCAGAGAGCAAAGTCTGCTTTGAACAAGTTTCGAGTAAAGTTTGAAAATTTTATGTCTGAACATTTGCGAGAAAGGTTATTCTCTTTGTCGAGTAATTTACGATACGAAGCTTCTGTAAGCTCAGATCTTTCAAATATGGTCAAAGAGGTTAGTTGACTTTATTAGTTTTATCCTTAATAGCTGAAGTTGTACATTATGCTTGTTCATTTACGAAGAAATTTAGATTTGTTGCATACTAGAGGCTCTAGGCGACAAAAACGTTGATTCTATGATTATGGTTGGAGGTCGACCTCTGAATTGCTTTATATTTTCAATAGCAGGCTCTGTAAGAGTTGATATCGGTCGACTGCCTGTACATGTGACTGACGCGAACTCAATTTTTGGTATTATCATTATTTTTTTAGCAATGAATTTGTTATTATCTCTTTCAGTAAATTAATATAGACTAAACAAAATTTAGGGAGTGAAAACTTACCCCTTTTGTATAATATTCAGCCGCTCGACCTCCAAACAGTAAGTAAATACCTAGTGCGATGCGATCATGTGAATGTGAGCGGGTTCTGTTTCCTACTGTTTTTTATTAGACAATCTTCTGTTCGCTGTTAGTACATACGTAAATAAATATTTTTTGGCCAGCTTCGGGTAGAGAAATTTTAGCTTTTGATTCAATTTTTCTTACTCATTTTAGATTTTGTTCGATCATATGTTGGAGTATTTAAGCAGTGCACAGCCTGAAGAACTTATAGGGTTGACAGCGCTTTCTATTTATTTCTTTGAAAGTTTGCGTGAGGTTTCAAGCTTGCGCTTTAGCGAGGAATATTTCGATATTTTTCGATGCTTCATTGAACATACGGTCAAAAGCCTTCAAACAATGGTGCTGGAAGAACCGGCTAGTGACCAAGTCGTTAAAAGTATTTTTTTCTTTTGCTTATATAATTTCTAATTACTATGCTTTTGGCTTTAAGCATATAAAAATATGTGAAGCTTCACTGTTTCCTCGTCAGAAAGTAACATTCTTTTGACAATTTCAGGGGAGATCAATGAAAATGACTGGTCAAGTTGTTTAGCTGCCTTACAACTTTCACTGTGTGCTAGCGCATTCGCTTGTTTTTCTCCAGGTCGACTTTCGCGACAGGTCTGGTCAAATTTTTTGAATAACCATTTTTGCCGTTCTGAAAGTGAGCAATTATAACTTTTTATGTAAACTGTTAGCTTTAGGCGAAATCTGTTTCAGATGTTGATAAATACTTTGTTTGAAGTTCTGCAATGGACAGCTTCCGCCAACAAGTTCTGCTTAAATGCAGCTGAAAGAGCTTTACTAATTATGTCGAAGGTTGTTCATTGGTTTCAATTCCATGCTAACTTTTTCCTCATAAGGCTTATTCCATTCATGTTCGCGAGTAAATATCCTACTTATTAGGATATCTGAAGCTGGTAGAACTTGGGAGTCCTTTTCCGAAATTACAAAATAATGTGCTTTTTTAATGTTTGTCTTAGTATTTTCATGAGTTTAAATTTTGGATGGGGCTGGAATTACCTCGCAAGCTTGGCTTAACCTGGTTAAAATAAGTCTGAGAGGTAAATCACGGTTTCTGAAACCTTTATTTTTTCCTAGGGGGTAAAATTTACCAATCTCCAATGAAAAGCTCATTTTTTCTAATGTGTACTGTGTGACTCATTTCAGTATTTTTAGGCTGTTGGCGAAGAGACTGTGTCCACATTGTGTGTCACTTATGGAAGTTACTTAATAACGAAGGTGGCTGTTAATTATCGCGGGTTTTCTTCAGATTCTCGAGCTCCACTCGCACTATGTTCATTAATGAATCACTGCGACGACCCTGCGTTATTTGCTCACTTAGAGCATATGATACCAAAAATTCTTTCGGCTGTTGATTATTCATATCAGGCATTTGCTTTTACGTTGTTTCAGAGTGAAAATTGGCAGAAATATGGATTTGTGATTTGTCTATATTAGACACAGAGTATGATGTAGTTTGATCTTGTTTTTCTGAGTATAGGATACTGTGATTCGTGTTTTGCGTGCGATCCTTTGTTTTGTTCGTGCTATGCGGCGATGGTTCAAAGAAGTTAGGCCAGCAAAGACTAAGGAGATTGCAGAAAGCGAAGAAAGCGGGGATACGAAGGAAATGTTCGGTGTTGAAGAAAAAAGAAACAATCATCCGTTCGTAGAAAGCACAATTGAAATAATGAAAAGGTTATTTTTTTGTGCTTTTTTTCAAATTTTATAGATCTATATAAATAGTTCACTTTTTAGGACTAAACACCTTCTTTCGTCGCCGTATTTGCCTGTACGGCTAGTAGTCCTTGATATTCTTGAGGAGTGCACTCTTAGTTTATGTAATTTTTACGATGAAATTCTGCCAATGCTACATCAAAACTGGCCAGGGCTGCTCTCTCGTTTGCGCGATAGAGAGGTTTTTGTTCAAATGAGAGCTTTTCAGGTAAGTATGGGCTTTAAGGTGGCATCACCACATTCAAGCCTCGTACCTTGTATTGTGTAAAGAAGATATAGTATCCGGATCCTTCCTAATTCAATCTGCTTTGAGGTGATGACTGCGATGTGCAAAGTATCAGGATTTTTTTTATATAGACGATTTAAAGAGGAAGCTTGGCCTGTCGTAAATGAGTTTATGATTTCACAAGTCAAAAGAAGCAAGAAGGCCGATTCTAGCTATTCTTATTCGTCCTACTATTCATACCAAAAGGCTGTGCTTCAACTGTTAGTTATACTATCGCGACCGCTAAAAAATTAGATATATTCACCCTTGTAGTGAGCTGACTTCATGCCATGAGTGTTTTTTATTTGAGGAGTTTTTGTTTTTAGATCATTTTCGACGTGGAAAGGTCTTGGCGCCGATGAGTCAGATAAGTGTGCTGTCAAAGAAATTTTTCAGTTATATCATAACGATTTATGTCAACCTGAAGAGCTTCGCAAATTAGCGGAAAAAGCTTTGTTTCACTGTGAAACAGAAAAATGGCCTGATAGTTGATTTATTTCGTTCGAGAGGTATTAGGAATATAATTTTTGAGTCTTGTCCTGCCGTCACATGCAGGTGTCAGAAATGGAGGTTTCCAGTTTGCTATGTTTAAGTGTGGTTAGTTTTTCGCATTATTCTTTTTCCTACTTCTGTTTCTTAAAAGCAATACGTTTTAAAGGGCTCAGAATAATTTTTCATTTAAAAAGCATGAAAAGTATGTGAACTTTACATCAACAAAAAGGCCTTAAGTGGTTAAATGAAGTTTTGTTATTAGTTAACCTTGAATTACGTAGGACTGAAGTGTTAAAAATAGTGAGGAAAATGTAAGTTGAGGCTCTTGTTTTTTGTTAGGGAACGACTAGAATTTCTTTTGTCGCTTATTTTATCTTTTTCAGGTGTTCTGCGTAAATTTGCTATTAATTCTATGGGCTGGAGGAGAGCAAAGTAGTCTGCGATATCAGCAGCACACAGTAATTACTGCCGGTGCTTTGTAAATATCTTAGTAAATGGTTCTCAACTTATTCCACTTCAATAATAGTAGTGGATTTCTATATTTTAGTACCATATATTATTTAATGTTTAATTCAAAGGTAGTTTGTCTATGAAATTAGTGGTAATGGATAGGTTTAATTGAGAGTGGGAAAACTTTTAAAGATAAGCTATCCTGATTACTTACTTCAAATGCTCATCAAAGCTGGAAAAAATTGGAAATGGCTTTCACGAGAGCTGAGTCGGTGTTAGCACCTTAAATATTTTTTTGAAATTTGTCCTTGAAGGCATAGGAAAAGTTTAAAAATTAGCTTATTAAACGGGTTTCTTTTGTGGTGAGCCCTTTGTTGTTGTTGTTGTTGTATTGAGTATGATGGTTACTGGAAAAAATTTTTGCGGTTAACAATAGAGTCCTTTATAAAGTTTAAAAACGCATATGGTACTGTTAATAGCAAATCATATAGTTCTAGAAGAACTGTACATATGTTCTAGCGTAATGTTTATTAAATTAATAGGGGATTTAGGTGGGGGAAGGTTTAATGAAGTTTTCGTGGTTTGTTATATGCTGCTGGACATTTGCATTCGATGTTGCGTGAGTTCCGAGTGAATAATTACGTAAGTGACGTGCATGTTTTGTATGCAATGCAGAGGCTCTAAGCAATTGTTTCGAAAGACAGTACGGATTATGGAGGAGTGGTGTATGTTCGTCAAAATAGATGGGTGTTATAGTCGTGCTTTAAATTCACCATTGATAGCCAGTTGTTTTTTTATAAATGACTGTAAAAGAGCCATAGTTGAGGGATGAGGGTGTTTGGTATTATCATGTTGCCCGTTTTCTTGGTCTTTGTCGAAGAGCTTGACGCTTAATGAGGTGTTTTGTACGTAAGCACAGGTTTTTCTTTGTCTGTTCATTGTGGACAGTTAAGTACTCTCTGGCATGTTTAGTTAAATTATTTTGTCACCAATAATTGTGTGTAAATCTGTTACTACGTTTTCGTTGATGGAGCGAAAGAATTTGTACTTCTGCAAATTTTGAGTGTTTGGAAGTGGCACTTTATTAGATTCCTATTTTATACGCATATTTACAATCTGAGAAATTTTGTAAATTGTTGGTACGTTAAAATGGGTCACAGAAAATTTTTTTTGTTACCTAAACTGCTGTTAAAGGATTTCAGTTTCATTTAATCGTAGTTGCTAGTTACATCAAAATATTTGTTGCAACATTGCAACACATTATTGTTCTATTCATCGGGTTGACTAAATTGATAAACTGACCTTTGAAAATCAGTCAAATTGTGTGGAGAGTTTAACTAATTTTATATTAAGGTACTTTAACTTTTGTCTTCTTTGCTCCTTTATTCTGCTAAAAAAAAAG